AATGCAGCATTTGCCAAAACACAGCTATAAAGTAGCCTTTCTAAAAATGAGTGCAAAATTTTCGACAGACGCAAGACCATTTTAGAATTTGAAATTCTAGACCACTGAAATATTTTAACACAAAATCTGCTATGTAGAGCATTGCAAGGTCATGGGAGGACATTTCTGCAGACATAAAGGTTTTTGGACATCGTATATAAAAGGCAAAATTCTCCAATTATGGAATTTGTGAAGAAATGTAAAGCATCAATAATAAATGAAGATCCTATGACAGAAGTTTCCCACTGTAATGACAACACCACAATCATCAATCAACTAACAGATAGCAAAATCCATAGTTTGATTTTAAATCCAAAAAATACTGCTACTGAGAGTGACAAAGAGGTTGTTGAGAAAGAAAAGATTTTGATTAACAGCTAAGGCAGAATTTGTGACATGACTGTTAAAGACTTGAATAATGTAACTTTGTAACTGAACAAGAAATTATATCTGTGTACAAAATTAAAAAGAATGTATTAATACAACAAAAAAAAATGAAGCAGCTTACATTGAAAGAAATATTTAATAAAGCAAAAAATAAATTTAGAGCTTTTTTTGTAAATTTTAATTCCCTTAAAATCATAAATTCTTCATTATTTCGTATTTTCAGTTTTATAATTTCTACCAATCTTGCTAAATTTGAACTGATAATCTAAAGACATAAATTTCTGAAATCCGGAATCACTTAAGTACTGACAATTCTTGATCTCAGACTTAGTACTACATTTAAAAACATGAATTCAATGAAGGAATCAAGCAGCTGTATCAAAATCAATGTGTCTGATTTGTTTAAATAAATTGTGAATGCAGATAACACTTTGACACTTTAAGATCCTGAGACAAAATGGCAATTACATGCTTAGGTTAAGGACATTCATCATTGCCACAGAAACTGCAGTTCTCAAGTACAGAAAACGCTGGTGACGTTTCTCATGGGACAAGGATAAATCCTAAAGATTTTGTTACATATTATGAAACATAATTTATAAAGACATAATGGTTAGATTTCTAAGGATAATTCAAAGCATTAGGCATAAAAAAAATCGAATGAATAACTGGTCTCTGCTCTATGACAATAGTATACCATTCTTGTCAAGCAATTTCTAGTTTTAAAAAAAAGGCATAATTCTCAAACATTGCCTCTTTGAAACCAGATTTGGCCCCTGAAACCTCTTTGTTTGTCCTGAAAAGAAGTTTCACTTCAAAGGTCATTATTTTAACAACACTGAAGAAACAACAGCGTTCTAAAATGCAAGTTTTAAAGAGAAATCAAGCAACTGCCTAATGATGTCAAATGTTGTTTAGACTTAATAAAGATTATATGTTGAAGAATAAGATATATGAATGCTATTTTCTTCAACTTTTGATTTTACAGAATTTAAGTACAAAGTTTAGTAGATGCAGCATATTTATTGTTTTCACTTAATGATAAAAACACTGCCTGTGATAAATAACTGTAACTGCCAATTGACAATACTTAACACCTTAACGGCTGGGTGAGCAACCAGTGGGTCACATTTTCTGCAGTTTTATTTGAGAATATAAAACTTGCTAAAACTATAATCTCAGCAGTGATTTTGAGGTTGCAAAATTTATACTCCTATATAAATTTTTTCAGTCTCCAAGCCACTCTGCTCAATTTGCTCCCAAATTTATTAATTTATATTAAATAATATACTAATTTTTTAATTTTATTTTATTAATATAATTAATATACTAATTTTTTAATTTATTATTTTATTATTATTAATTATAATTAATGTACTAATTCTTAAAATTGTGGACAAAATATTAATTTTGCTTTTTATAGAATGATGTTTATAATACATGAACTATATGAATATATACTGCAATGTTCTGGTAAGCATGCGGTAGTGTGCAAAAGTAAATAAAACTAATATAAAATACCATGTTGCATCCTATATATAATAACCTGCAGTTATTTTTTTGTTTTCTAAGTTATGAATTAAAAATATTCTCAGGTTTGAGATTTGGAATGATCTAACACAAATGTTATATATGTTTAGACAGATGTATGATGTAAGTGCACTCATCAGATCTGATTTGATTGCCCGCTCATGCAGTGCCCTTATGTGCTCATGCCCTTATGTGTGTCGACAGTCAACACATTAAGTTCTTTCATATTATAAATATTATAATAATTATAAATAATCTGCAAAACAGATAATCATCTTTGTCAATATTATGTATGTTAATTATTTACAGAATCATTTTGCCTGCACATTTTTGCAACAAGTATTATTTTACACTATGAATGTCATAAACGAAATAGGTGAATCTAAGTGAATGATTGCAAAATTTCTAACTGTACGTATATGCTATGCTTTCAGGGAAAAAAAATATCAAATGCTTATGATGGAATCTCAAAACAGCACATTATAGCACATCTCTCTATAGATATCTGCTTTTAATTCTGTTCAAATGGTAATATATTCTCTAGCATTCAAACTTTTGCACTTAAAAAAAAAAAATAAGAAATGAGTATTGCTTTTAAATTAAAAATTATTTTCAAATTCAATATTTAAAATAAAGATTTAATTTCATGAATTAGAGCAGATTTTACTTTTATTTAAAAAAGTAAAATATTTGTATGATTTTTCAGTTTTTAAAAATTTTTAAGTGCAAATTTTCACTTCACTTTTTCATTGCAAATTTTCAATTCAACAGCTGAAAATTCACTTCTTTTGCAGGGAGGGTGGACAGGTTGCACATGAAATATGCTTCTTCTTTATTTATTTGGAATATGTTTATTCATTTAAGTTTCTGAACTAGAAATATATCTAAAATAGAAATTTAAATTAGACTAGATAAATCAGTTTTAGGCAAATTTTACTTATCCATAGATATCCAAAATAAAAATGTGTATTCTAATATGGCATAACTGTTATAGGTCTCCAATATCTTGTTATCCTTTACATTCAAAGCAGTTTTCAATATTACTATCAACTCTGCTACAGTTTTGAAGCCAACCCTTTGGCAATTATAAAAATCTTAATTCATCACTCTCCCATTATGTGCAATAAATGCAAATGGCATAAGATTTACTCACAGTTGCTTTTATGAATACTATTTATTTTGAGCAATGCAGCTAAAAACTAGTAATTAATTTGTTGAAAGAGGAGTTATGAACTTCATTTCTTAACAAAATATTTTCTGTTTCATGCCATATGTATCCACAGCTGGAAGACATTTAATGTCTTTTACATTATGAATCACAGACAAAACACCATCTTTGCTTGTTTCAGTTTCTGAACTCTTTTTGAACTTAATGGATAAATTTGTTAAGTGCTTTATATGTTCTTTTATAATTCGCTATCATTCCATGATACAAAATTAAGCCATTTTCTCCAAAAGAAAAAAATTTTAAATTACTTAGCAAAATTACTATAATTTGAAAATTGCTAAAATTATCATAATAAAACTTTTTCTTGGCATTAAAATCACCTACTATCACTTTTATTATAAAAGTGCATTTTTTAACACTTCTTCATAGTATATGCTTAATATCACAAGGATGAAAAAAATGGGGAAAAAAAACTAATTATAATTTAATATTCTCAAAACAATTTATTTATATACTTCACAAATTTAGTTAAATTTTAGTGTACAGATACTTTAATGCAATTACCTTACAATTCCTGATGGTAATTAACCTTTCTAGTGCAACATACGGGGGTGGGAAAAGATTTAATAAAAATTTCTGAATAAATACAAGCTACATCTACATTCTAAATTCAAGCAACAGTTTTAAAAAATATAAATAACAATGTGTTACAATTTCTTTCCCTGTTTTGTAAATGAGAGTTATTATTTAATGAAAAATCATCAAGCTTTTATCTTGCACTGCTATTTCAGCAATGAAATTATTGCTAAAATATAGAATGAGAAAAATAATGTATGTAATGCAATACCCTAATGCTATACAAAATCACTAAATTATTAGTTTCAAATGGTATTTCTCAAAATTTTACAGATAACAGTGGATTATTTTTAAGAAGACATCACTGGGAGAAAATTTGCTTTAAGTAAATATAGGACTTATTATATCTAGTTAAAGTAGATGTCATTTTGGTATGTTAAGCTTGTTTGTGCAGATTACAAGCCGTACCTCAAATGCGAGCTACACTCACTCCTAACCATTAATGTGTAAATCTTTAGAAAATGAAATGAAAACAAAACTGTATCTACTCACATATTCCTTCCCCAAAATATTTGCGTAATTTTCTTCTTAATTTTCCTTTCTTAATCAATTTAGAGAAAAAGCTTTCATAAATTTTAAAATGGGTTTGTCCATGAAGTTCATCTAGTAAAATGAATACAAACTACCTGCAAAAGTCATGCCACATCTTCCCCTTCCAACTGTTGAATTTTAAACCAGCCTAATAGGCCGATCACAAAGCAAACACGAATTGATATTCAATCTACAATTTCGCTAAGTCCACTGCACATTCACTTTCTTTAATTATTTATGGATTATCTGAGGCTTAAGGAGTAGCAGAAACAACAATAACAGGCTATATTCAAGTCGCAGGGAAGCAGAAATGAAGATATATTAAATATTTTAATGTTAATGCTACTATGTATTATTATTGAAATGTATGTTTCTTTTAAAGAAATAATATTGTGATACTCATCTGTAATTTATTCATGATTACTTTTCATTTGCTATTTTCTTACTGTAATTGCATCCTTCAGAAATTAAATTATTCGCATAATTTCCCCCTCTTGATTTTTAGATGATAAAATTGGTGGAAAAAAGAGAGGAGTGATAAGATATATGGTAATTTTATCTTTTTTAAATTGCACACTGTATGTAAAAAACTGCGATTCAAGTTACACACATCATTGTAACTACATCATTGAAGTTGCAGAGCATTTTATGAAGTCTTGCATACCACAATTAACAGAATATAAAAAACTTAATAATATTTCTATATTACCTTAAATAAAAATAACTTTTTGTGAGGAGGCCCTACATCCATTACAACAGTGTAGAGTGGTGGTTTCCATTTACGCTTGCTGCAAAGTTCCATCAAAGCAGATACTGGGTGCTTTCCTTTAACAATACAATAGATTAAAAAAAAGTCACATAAACCATATTAATTTTTACAAGAATAAAACCAAGTCAGACTTCTTTTAAAATCTAATAGAATGTGTGGTAACAGTGATGTGTAAAAATTCAATTGACTTTCTTCTTAAATATAACATTTATTTATCCTGAAATTGGTGAATAATACCTTTTATTTACTCTATTCACTGACAAGATTGGATATAACAATTAACATATTACATGATTGCTAAAGTTATAGGGGCAATTAAAAAAATAATGAAAACACATTATATAAAAGATACTGAGCATAAAATTTAAAGGTAAAATATATACTGATTTTCAGAGTTCTAGAATTGAAACACAAAAATGAAAGCACATTACTGTAAAAGCTTAAAATAAAAAAGTGAAGCACGATAGGCATAATATCAAAACTGAGGCTGAATAATACTGATAAAAAATTTGTATTCTCTCAAGAAACTGCCAATATTAAATACCATTATTAAAAATTAGCTTAGCAAGTACTGCATGTTATCGGTATGCTTCCAACAAATCGGCTTAGTGGCACAAATATTCATTAAATGCATTCAATACATAATTAGGAGGAGTCTCACAAACAAAGACTATATTTCAAATATGTCACTAAACAATATAAATAGTATTTCAAAATAATGGGACTATTCTATGACAGAAATAGAAACAAATGACGCATAATTTCGAAACAAGAGCAAAATATTGTTACGAAATGCCCAGTCACAGTAAGATAGCTTCCCTGCAAGGTGGGTTTAGGGTTGCTGTAAAACGGCAAAGAGCCACAGTTGCCATTATTTGGCGAGAAATCGCCCATTTGGTGACATGCCATAGATGGATGGAAAACCTTCTAGAACAAATTCTTATTGGTTTGCCCCAGAATGTTCTCAAAGGCAAGCCAAAGCTATATAAACCCTGCCTATATGCAGAGTAGCAGTCGATTGTGAGTCTATCAAATGTCTTGTAGTCTAGTATCAAGTTGATTATCAGTCTAGTGTTCAGTTAGTCTATCAAGTGTCTCGTAGTCTATCGAGTTTTATCAACAGTCTACTGTCGAGTTGGTGCATCATTGAGGCTATCATCGAGTGTATCATTAGTTGTAGTGTGGAGAATGTTGAGAGTACGTTGAGTTCTGAAAACGACCGAAACGAGTCAGGAGCTGTATACTAGTGCTTTGCCGTGAAGCTATCTTCCCTGTTATAGCCTGATAGTCTGTTGCTGATTGTTTCGGCGTGTCCACAGTACTGTCCACAGTAATACTGGCTAAGAAATTGTGTTTTCATTCTTCATCAAGTGTTGTCATCAATCACTCCAAATCCATGATCCAGTAAGAAAGCAACAATATTTTAAAGCTGGCTACAAAGCAATAAATATTTATGATGGCACCAGCAAAACAACTACTAGAAAAGCTATCTGCCTATGAGAATTGAATAATAAGGGAAATAAAAAAACTAAACATCAGAATAAATATAAAATCTTAATGCAACTATCCTGTTCCAATTCTGGGAACAGAACCAGAGATTAAACTACCAGTTTCCAGCATCAGCAATTTGCTACTGCTTAACTTCCCAAAATGAATTACTAAAATTATGAAAATTTTTAATTCAAAAGATTAACCAAATAACTGATTTTGTTACCTTGTAGTTCTTTTATTGCTGCTTGTTTTTTAGGATCATCTTCTTCAGATACCAACCCTAAAAGTAAAATACATTATTAATTCACATGGCTAGAACATTTACCCAAAGCAAATTAAAAATATTTAAACTGCCTTTTTAAATGAAAGTTGTAATAAAATATGCAAGAAAATTCACAGTAAATGCAAAAAAGAATTACTCTTGATGAAGAGGGACTGTTCGTCCTCAGAATCGATAGAGTTTCAATTAAAATCTATACCAAACACAAGTTATTTGCCTAATGTTAAGTTTTACTTTGGTATGCCTCTCTCCTTTCAATAAAATTTATTAAAACTTTGTTTACCATAATACTGTGTATTTACCAAGGTAAATTTTATCAGTCAATTCTTCCTGTTTTGGTAAGATATGCTTTTTGAGTACTACTGATTCACCTACAATGAATTTTATCTATAAAAGCAAGTTTTTGGTAAAATTTGATGAGTTCTTATACAAAGCCAAATTAACTGTAATCGCTGGTTGTAAATGCAGCCTAGCTTTCTTCAGAATAATATCCTACTTGATTGCATTTTTCAACATGTAACTACATTTCCACAACAGTTAACTGTGGTAGGGTATAATTTCATTCATGCAAATCAATATTTATATTATTGATTTTTTAGAAATATAAAAGATTGCTAAAGGAGTGAATAACTTCCATTTTTATATGCAACAAATTCTACATACTATTATGAAAATAAACATAGTAAAGCAAATAGAACAAGAGTTTTAAAAGACGACTGTAAATATTGCAGTAGATATTTCAAAATACTTAAATTAATCCAACTCCAGACAAATAAAATTACATAAAAAAATGCAAAAACTTTTAAATTTTTACATGCTTGCACTACATGATGTCAAAATAATACAAACTCTTGCAAAAGCAGTGGCATAACTTCAAAATAAATACTAAGACATTTTGAAAAACTGAACCAGTACTAAAAAAATGGAAGAAGATTGTATGAAAATTAAAAAACAATAACAATTTATGAAGCAGCCAATGCAAATAAAACAAGACTGAATCTGCAGGTAACCAGAGACAGCTTATCTTACATGTTTGCAATAGAAAAGTGGAAATTTAGCAATGATAAAAATACCAATATGAATTCATATTAAAGGTATTTTCTTACTATCTGCAGCCCACAAAAAGTTTTCATGAGGCAATACATTATGTTCCCAAAATAGGCAGACCATGACATTGCCAAAATATAATACAACAACCTTTTGCCGCCTAGTGTGCAGATTTTCAATCCACAGACCAAAATAAATCAATTGGTTTTTGAGTAAAATATCTAAGATGGCATTTGGGACATCATTCAAATTTTCAAATTTTTTGGCACTAAGAATATGTTGTAGGGATTGGAATAAATGGAAATCGGGCGAGTATGTTGAGTGATGCAGCATCTCCCCATCCCAATTCATTCTTTTTTTCCAGTGTCCGTCTTGCACAGTGCAGTCTTGCATTGTCGTGTTGCAGAATGATGCCTTTTCTATTGACAATCGCCGGATATTTTTCGATTAAAGATTGGTTCACTCGATCCAATTGTTCAAATAATGATCTGCATTAACAGTTTGTCCAGGTTTCAGCAATTCAAAATGAACTATTCCTCGAATACTCCACCAAACACACAGAAGCATTTGTAACCCCTATTAAAACTGCCTTTTGCATTTTGGATTATCATATAGGATCCATTTTTTGTCTCCAGTAATCAAATGATCAAAAAATGGTTCTGTATGGTGCCGTTGAAACAATACGTTTCATGTGATGGATCGGTTGGCTTTGTTCTCTTCGGACAGAATATGGGGGATCAAACACCTGCTTTGCTTATTTTTCCATTCTGATTTAAATGTTCTTGGATGATCGACCAAGGTTGGTTAAGAGTGTTTGAAATGGATTTACTTCCACTTCTGCCCTTAGCATGTTGTTGTCAACATGCGCAGAAACAACATTACTTTCCGGTCCCCCTATTATTTATGTAGCAACCCAGGTATCTGCAAGCCATGTAGATGAGCATGAATCTACTTTCAAAGTTCACTTTCATTAAAGTTTGTTTTTTGTTTCACTGAGTGCTTCCCCCCCCCCTTGACAGGACTGTGGAGTTTGTTGGTTGATGAAAAAGAAAGCATACCATTTCTTCAGAAATACGGCATTTTGCCCAATAGTAGACAATGTAAAAATTCACATTTTATGAAGTTCTTTGTAAAAGATCCAATTTTTTAATCAAAATTTGTGCACCAATGCCAAATTTGCACAATTCTCCGATGCTATTTTAATCACATAAATATTTCTTCAGAAAGGTATTTTGTTAAGATTGTTTCTTGCTTTTTACATTTTACTGATTCATTCTTCCTTTACAAAATTCTTAGTATGGCACCATATTTAAAATAGCTGTTACCGTTTGCGTATTAGCTTTGCGAAAAATTAGTTGTCAATGAACTGTTAACTTTTCAGGGAAGGGGGTTGCAGTAATTAAATAGTACCATATGTAACATTAAATAATTTTAAAATGCCTATCATCGATAAATATCCAGAAAATTTTACAACAAACAAAATTATTTTTTAAGAAATTAAAACCATACAAGTCTGTAAAAGATCAATCTCTTAGTGCACTAACAAAAATTCAAACAGTGGTCTTCCCCCCCCCTTTAAAACAAAACTGTAGCAGATACATTTTTCTGCATTCATAAATTTTGAAATATTATTTTTTTTTTTTTTTTTTAAATTCTTGAATGTATTTATTTGTGTGGAAGAAGATAAAATGTTAGGTACATTTGAACAAAATGGATTTCTAATCCAATTTTGGTTTTCATAATTCTCAGAAAAACACATGTTGAAATTATTTATAAATGAAAAACAATGATTTTTAATGTTGGATGCTAATTCTTCTTTTGTTTTCAAATTATTGTCGGTTAGAAAATTTTCTAAAAGTGGTAAAATTTATATTATTATCCAGTTTCTTGATTAATAGGTCAAGTTTTTTTATCACTGCATTTATTTTATCTCTAATGGTAAACAAATTAACACTTTACCCTTGTAATCCTAAATTTACTTCATTTAACTGCAAAAAATATCAGCTAAATATGCTAAACGTGCCAACCATAAATAAACAATTTTGCAATTCAAATTTTGAATCACAGAGGAAAATTTGAATTTTTGATTGAAGTTCAAAAAGACAATTTAAAACTTTGCCTCTGGACAACCACCTTACTTCAGAAGATAAGCCTTTCATGTTCACTGCTGATCTCTAGGCATAAAATCATAAATATTCTTGAATTTCAAGCTCAGTTTTTTAATAAAATTAACAATTTTCAGGTTTTCAAGGATTGTTTTCGCTACTAAAGCTTCCCGATAAATGAAACTGTCAGCAAATTTAGTTTCACGTGCGACTTTCTTTATTTAAAAAAAAACACCAAAATGCTTTCCTGCTAAAATCTGAGCTCTGTCACTGCATTTATTCCAAGGAATGTCATTCTCTGATAATAAAATTATCAATTACTTTGGAAATTTCATTGGCAGTTGCTCTATCATTAAGAGATTCATAAAATAAATACTCTTTGGCAATTTGTTTGTCTTCTTCGAAACATATGTAAACTAATAGTTGAACAAAGTTATCAGTATTTTTATCCAACTGCAATGTGATATACTCACTGATTTTTATTTTTTGAAAAAGTGTCTCTTTTATGGAATTTGCCATTTAATGAATTTGTCAACTTACTGTAGCCTTTGATAGCAGAATAGCATTAAGTTCATTAGCCGCTTTTTCATTGAATAATGTGAAAACAATATTTTTAGCTGCTGGCAACATAAGGTTTTCTCCAATAGTGTAAGCCTGCTCAGTCTTAGCAATTCTTAGGCTTAGCAGGTAACTAGCTTCCAAAACTTTTTCACTTGAAACAACAAAACCTTTCACTACTTGTTTACTATTTTTGAACTCCGATAATTTCCTCTTAATACATTCTTCAGATTTATCCTTTAAATTGGCAAGCTTAGATGGTCTATTTTCAAATTTTGCTTACATATGATGTCCCAGAAGAAAGAAAGAAAATTCAAGATAAATTAATATTTAATTTAAAGTTTAATTTGAGCAATGCATTGCATAAAATGACTATAAATATATTTCTACAATTTAAAATACACTCTTAGACAAGAAAAAAAAAAAAAAAAAGACGCACCGAGAAGATCTAAAGCAATTTGGACACAAATTGATATGCATACAGGTTTCGACAGAAAATGCAAAGTTTTACATTTTGGCTGTCATGAATGAACGGTTGTCGCTACAAGCGCATCTGATCTGAGCACTGGCAGGATATTAACAGGAGAAATTACGATTCCAGGTCATAAATTCTTCAGAATTTCATTCCGCGTACTCTGGTAGACAGTAACTATCCTTGCATACAGATGTGCGAACGATATGTGCAGATGTCAGAATTTGAGAGAGGTCATGTAGTTGGGCACAAAGAAGCCGGTTGGTCTTACCGGTGAAATAGCTCGACATTTGAGCAGAGCGGAGCGATTGCCACTATTAGACTGTATTGGCAGGAATGGGTGAACCATGGCCACACAACGTCAAGAAGGAAGTGTTAGACCTAGAGAAACGACAGAAGGTGAAGACCGAGCAATCGTCAGAGCGGCACTCACAACCCCAGATGCATCATTACCATCGATTGTAGTGCTTCAGTGACCTACCGTAAGGACCATTCATAGACGGCTCACAGAAAAGGGGCTTGAGTTCAAGACGCCCCTTGCGCCAACTACGATTGACCTCTGTACAACGTCAAGCCCGTTTGCAGTGGTGTCGGGCTCATTCGCACATGAAATGTCATGACTGGAGTAGAGTAGAATAGTTATTAGTGATGAGTTCCGCTTTGAACTTTGAACTGAGCCCTGATGACCAGCGAAGGAGAGTCTGGAGATGCCCCCAGAGAGAGGGGTGATACTAACCTGACTGTCTTCCGGAAGAAGACAGGCCGACAACCAGGAGTGATGGTCTGGGGTCTTATTTCATTTCATAGTAGGACCCCTTTGATCACAATCTTACGATATATCCCTTAGTGCACCAATCCGTCGCAACCTTACAGCACAGCGATACGTCGACGAAATTCTAAGATTCGTCGTGTTGCCCTATATGTCCACGCTACCCTCAGCTTACATTTCAGCAAGATAATGCCCGTCCTCCACACTGCACATGTTTCTACTGCTTGCCTTAGTGCTTGCCAAACATTACCTTGGCCAGCAAGGTCTCCAGACTCTCTCTCTTATTGAGCACGTTTGGAGCATTATGGGGCAGGGCCCTCCAACTAGCTCGGTATGTTGACGATCTAACGCGCCAGTTGGACAGAATTTGGCTTGATATCTCTCAGGAGGACATCCGCAACTTCTATCAATCAATGCCAAGCCGAATAACTGCTTCCATAAGGGCCAGAGGTGGACAAACGCGTTACTGACTTTTTCACTTTGTGAAGCTCTATCACTTCAATAAATCATCCAATTTTTCTCAAACTGTAATCATTTGTTTTTTTGTACATGTACATCACTTTTTCAGATCTCCCTTCTTGGTGCGTCTTTTTTTTTTTTTTTTTTTTTTTTTTTTTTTGTTTCCGTCTAAGAGTGTATAGAAAAATCAATTGAAAATTTTTAGATAAAAATTTAGAAAATCAATAAAAATAATTTGTCTTCCACTTCATGTCAAGTCTGTTACCTTGAGATTATTTTATTCCCAATTAGTCTGTAAATCTGCCTAAAAATGGGGAGTACATATTCAAAGTAGTCAAACTTAGCTTCACTAGTATATCTATATCACTGATATGTACTGCCCCTTTTAGACAGATTTATAAACTAATTTTGGGTAAAATAATTTGGATTTTTATTTAAATTGTACTACAGTTAGCTTTTTACTATTCTTCCTTTTATGCTTCATTTTATCACATACTCACTCAGTCCAGACATATATGGAAATTTTATGCCAAATGGCTTAAGTTAAACTGTGAAGTAAAATAATAATCAGCATGACTCATAACAGAAGCTTGGCTGTTGCCACTACAGTTGTTTGCTTAGAGACAGAGTTAACGATCAGAACAGATGTGAACAACTGATGTTGGTAAGCGTTGAAAGTTATTTGCACTTAGACCAAGTTGGTGTCATAGCTTTGTCAATTTGCTGAAATTGTAACCCAGTTAGTATAAAGTATTTAATATAAAGTTTAAATAAGTCACTGAAGTACCACAGATGATAGATTGTTTTGCATTACTTTAAGTCTCATTAGCTGAAAGGAATAAATTTTTACGTTTTTGGTGTTTTACTTTGCATACACAATAAACGTAAATGGAAAGGAGATAACTTACCTTAGGATGTAGAGATAACTTCTAAAGGTGAGCAGTTAGTTACAAATAATTAAATTACATAGTTTGATACTCTTAGTCATAATAGATTTACATGGTGACAATTACAGTTAAAAAAATTTCTAAAAAATATCCATTGAAAAAGGCACTAAGAACATTTTGCTGCAGTTATAATTTATGATAATGATTCTAAAATGATATTAGTTATAACTATACATTAAAAGCTACAACAAATTTATGTTTTGCAGCAACAATAAACAACAAAATATTTATGCATCTTTAATTGAAAAATTTCCAGATATTTTAGCTAATTTACATCTATTTCTGTCTCTTTAGGATCTAGTTAGATATTTTATTTGTCTCAATAAATAAATAAATGTTCCCCCTAGTCTGTGCTTCATCTCCTTATTTGTTAATATTTTAATAATGTACCTTTAGAGAATAATTCTCTCTCTCTCTCTTTATGAAACCAATTTCTTTTTCAATAAATTATGTCTTCATTTTAAAATTTTCAGATTTAATTAAAGATTTTTGTTATTCTAAAGAACTGTACTTAGAATGTATAGAAGAACCTGCTAATTTCATTTTTCTAATAATATTTGTGTTGAAAATAAACATGAAATGATATAAGGTCAAGACCTGCGCCACAGCCAGTGCAGAAGAATTTAGGGCAGGTACACACGCACGTATGGCACAATGAAACATATATTATGAATCTTTTAATTCACTGTTGGTTTTTCAATTTTTAATTTTCTTGATTGCTTTGATACCTGTGTTTAGTGGAAAGCTAAGAAAATAAATGGAAGATAAGCATATTAAGAGAAAGATTTCTAGGATCAAAAAGAGAAAATGCAAATAATTTTCTTTTCACTGTTCTTCCAAAAATTCTGCAAAAGGTAAGTAATTCATCACAAATTTCTTAAAAAATACATCCATTACATGTTAATAATCATGAGACACTTCATTTCGTCACATTTTTCCTGAAACTGTTGGCCTATAAAACTTGCCTTCACGATAATAATAATCTATAAATCTTGCCTTTAGACCTTCCAAGGTGCAATCCAGAAGAAAAGTTAAAAAAAAAAAAAAAAAAAAAAAAAAAAAATCACTACTACCAACTCAGTAAGAGCAAATCCAGTAAATTTTTGAAAAAAATTCAGAAAAGAGAAGAGTAAAGTGAATTTTTAAGAGAAAACTGATACACATTTAAATATTCTGAAACAATTACACGGAAAAAAATTCTTAACATGAATATATATATATATATATAAGACAAATGATATTAATTTTAAATAATTAGAGTAGCATTTTTGTTTTTTCTAAGAAGCATTTTGGGAACTGTGCTTAGCATTTAAATTTTTCAGAACCAAAATATTTCAAAGTCACCAAAATAGAATTTTTCGGAATCAAAATATTTTTATGTCACCAAAATGCACAGTAATGTTACTTTAAAATATGGCAGAAGAAAATAAAAATATTTTATTTTAATGTTATTTCTTAAATATAATTTTGTTATCATTATTTATATGATATTTATCAGAGTTATTGTAAAAAATCATCAACATTCGCAAATCTCCATATAAAATTTTTTTTTAATACAAACTGATTTTGAAATTACCAAAATTGATAAGTTGTCAAACTTAGCGCCACATAATAAAAGAATTCCAAAAAGGGAAAGTTGTGTCTGATGTGATTTTTTTTTTTAACTCTTCATTCACAAAAAGAAAATTATTTCAAATGCTTGTATTTCAATCAAGGCAGGGCCTCATACCTCAAACTCGAGTATCAACCATTTCTATTATGAAGTAGGAAATAATTTAGGCGCTAACACATCGAACATATATTTGTCAATATATCATCACCAAAATGTATTCCTCCAAAACTCATGCTCAAAATGGCAATTGTCAAAAAAAAAAAAAAAAAAAAAGAGAGACAGATGCAAACAATTAAGGACCTTTCGTTGGATTTTACTAAAATTAATTACTTTTAAGAATCAAAAATTGTTTCCAAAAATTCTAAGGACTTTTAAATTTTTTAAAAAAAAAGAGACAAGAAAAATTTTTAAACAAAATTTTTGGAATTCTAAGGACTTTTAAATTTTTTAATGACTGTATGAGCCCTGTTAAAGAAGTAATTCCTTCATTTTCTGCTTGCATTAGTCAGTACATACACACTCAAAGGATAAATCCAGATCATAAAAATGTGCATGGAAATTACTTTGATTAATTAATAGATGGCACTAGCATTTCGTGTTAAACATGACATGCCTTTTGACTTTCCAGAGACTCACAACTGACAGCTCTGTAGATAGATACGTGCTTGACTTCACACACTAATTAACTAGTAACAATTAAGTTCCTATTAGAAGATTTGATTCTTCGATTGTTAAAGTATTCGATCTTGTCTGATTTGTACAAAGCTGAACCATTGAATGATGTAATCAATGATTTGCAAATAGTATAAATATTAAACTTTATATTTTTTAAATCATTCGATGTTGATTTCTATCAACCTTTGAATTTTGAACAATGTGAAAATGAATATAATTATCATCAAAATATAAAGATGAAAATACAGTATTAGTGAAAAAAACATTGTTACCAAAAAATTCTCTCATAAATTTGATTCCAATTTCAAGTAGCCATATTTAAGATAGCATTTCATACATTTTAATTAAAAGCTATAAATGCTTCTAATAAAAATACAGTCCACAATATTTGTATAAATGCATTTTTTAAAAATCAATGTGTTTACTTTTGTTTTACAAAGTTAACCCCTTTTGCAAAAGCTAGCTTATGTACATAATTTTAACAATTACCTACACATTTTGCTTTATAAAGTTATTCTTTACTTCTTGAAATAAATCAGTTTTCAAATCACCCCCCAAAAAAACTTAGAAGGCAGCATGAAAAATTTTACATGTTTTTAACTTTTGTTTACACCATACTGTGCACTGAAATTTTAATTAACATTTAAGGATTATTACCTTTTTTATCTGTTTTGATACTGAGGACTAGAGGTTCCAATGAACCTTCTTTATTTTTTCCAAGGCCTTCGCCTGGATTCCAGCCCATTTTCTTAAGCAAACTCATTCCTTTTCCTTCAGTAACTGGGGCAGCTTGAGTAAATATGTCCTGAAAACATTCATATATACTTTAATTTGCAACCTAAATTTTCTTCAAATATTCCCATACCATAAAATAAGTAGTTTATACTGAAAGTTTTTATAGATCTTTTCTGTTATAGAATGATAAGTACCAGACAGGTTCCTCTAGAAAAATATAGGCACCAATGTCAGCAAGAAAACATACTTTTTCATCTGCTCATTGCCACTGTGGAAAAAATTATAAAATATAAGAAATATAGAATATTTTCTGTTATAACACACATCAAACAATTTAGCAGCAAGACATATTTTTATTCTCTTGTTTTCAAAGTAAGTATTGTCAATAGAGTGTTTTAAAAGTATGTCACTCTATTTTATTCTTTGTTTATTGTAATATGAGAAACAGATATTGTTTATGCCAAAAAATGTGCGCTTGATCAAACTGGATTCATAAGCAGTGCTATCTGCTTCACATGGCTTCCAGTGCTTCAAACTTTATTTTTTGAAAATAATTTTGAACACACATAATGATTTTCATGTCAGTGATTAAAGATGAAATATCATAAGCGTTGTGTCTTCTTTTATACACCCACAATGAGAACTGTGCAAGGTCTGTATATTAAAATTGAAAATTATGATTGGTCACCTAAAGTTTCAGGTCATGCAGCATTGGATGAATCTTTCTCTGTCAAAAACATTAACTGAAGCAAGGATACTGCATGGACATTTTTCATATTCTTATATGAATTTTTTTACATTGTTTTGTATGTATTTTCCATTTATATTTTCTTTCTGTGTGCATACATCTATTTTAATAATATATTAAATCATTTTACTATTCAATGCATTGCCTATTTTTTCAGTTATTTAATAATTCTGACTAACTGTATCCTTTTCAGCTGTTTCTGAAAATTTTGTTTCTTTGTTGTAATCTTGAAGGCCTCTTTACTTTGCATATTTTTAGTCCAAATAGCATTAGCCCAGAAGGACTATTAATTTCAAAATGGCATTTTGCGTCGATTCGCTTTTCAAACCGTTGCCACCAAATATTATATTTAAAGAAAGTAAATAATGAAGAATTTGCCTGACTACATGAACACTCGCACTGTGAAGAAACAACGGTACCTACAGCCATCAAGTTTTGAATATAGTAGTTCTCCAACCAAACATGGGCACTTGGAAGCCAGACTTTTGAATTTGTTATTATCTATTTAAAATTTTGTAAAATTTTAATGAATTTTTGATTAGCAAATTCAACAATTTCAAAGTGAGCAATAGCAACAATGTATGGGAAAAAACACATTTATCTCCAGTGCGCGAGACTGTTCATTAGAAATTCTAAAGACATGCCGTTTTTAAATATTTTATGATATTGCTGCTGAATTGAATTTTATGTGTTTTAAGTGTGAAGAACATTATACTTCATCAATAAAGGCAACACGCAAAACGTTAAAAAATGCCCTTTTGGGCGTAATATAAAATCTGAAAGCTTTCAGATTTTTTTTCTTTTCTTTTTTAATATTTTACAATAACCAATCAATTATGCTTTGAATATCTTGAGTCTACCATTTCAGCACAGGAAAAAGCTTATGTGGTCTAAATATCCATTAAAAACACCACCTTTCTGGAAAAGGAACCTCACACTAAGGTTTGCTCAGCAGAATACTCAATTTTTCATTCCTGGCATTACAGTTGATAATATAAGCATGTTGTTTTTGCCATTGCTTTTAACATTCTTAATAGTATGAGCAATATAGTGCTGCAACCCTTGTCAATTGACAAGAATGAAACTCTCAAAAAATGCCTGAATTAGATATACTTAGAGAGTCAACAGCAGGAGTAGTCAACTTTTTTTTTTATACCTACCGCCCACTTTGTAGGTAATAAAATTTCCTTACACCCCACCAATTTCACAGCACTTAGTTTAGCATAAATGCAAAGTAATTTTTTGAGTGAAGGCTTAGTAAAAATATATATTGCTAAATTTATCCATTCATTTATACTTTGCTTATATTTATGAGAGACAGAAAACTTATGTCATGCATAGCTAGATGGGATATTGGTTCCAGCAAAACTGCTTCAGCTACGAAACCTTCAATGGTAGGTAAAGGAGGAGAACTTTCATCATCAGATGGACAAAAGCCTCTACTGCCCACCATTAAAGCTTAACTCACCTGCTAGTGGACAGTAGGGACCAGATTGACCATTCCTAGTCAAGAAACAAAAATTCACACCTTGTTTGCAATATCTTATCCTAATAACTAGTTATTATAATATATATCTTAAGTTTTGAAAAATTTTATGACAGCTGATGAAAAAAGCACTTCTTCACTAGAAGAATCAAGCTGACACATATATCTTTCTAGAGAAAACTGTTTGCCCTATGCTATCCCACAATGGAAAATATTTAAGTTTATCTGTAAAAAATCTCAGAAGTAAGCTAAAAGCTAACATAAATTTTTAGTTATTTTTAAATTAAAATGTTTTTTCCGGTCTAAAATATAAGTAATTAAATTTAAGTGTGATGTAAAAATTGCCGATTAAGCATTAATTAGTGTTAGAGCACAATTTTTTTTCCTAATAAAAGGTAGATGTGGATATTTGAAACAGTTCTTCATTTAAAGCATAGTTTTCTATAACATTATAAGTTAACTATAAGTAGTTATAAGTGAACTGTGAAAGAAGTGCACCTGTTTTAAAATTTTCTAAATTATTATACCACATAGCTGACATTTAAAATAAAGAGCCTACAAACTACATGTTCATTAGATAAAGGCAAATATTAGAAGAACAATAATGTCACTACAATAAATTAAGAAATTATGAAGTTACTTTATTTTTTCAAATACCACATATAGTATTGCTTTACTATTATTCATTACTGGAAGTTAAAATATGAATACAATTGGATAAATGATTTTTCTTTCACTTTTGTTATTACATACGAACATAATGTCCATTGAATTATATAAAAATCATATAATAGCTATTATTCTGAAATGTTGCATTTCAAAAAGATTAATTATAAATAATGTCCTATTTTTCAGAAAGGAAGAGGAAATAACTAGAACATTTTAGGGACTACTACAAATTAAAACTGTATCTTGTATGTATAAATTAAAATTATATTATATATACTGAACTGCACCAAAAAATATAGTTTTTTAATTATTTATTTCAATAATTCTTTAATGTAAATTTATTTTCAAAGTTCTCTTGGTATTTATTTCAAATCTTTCTCTGACAATTATAATTCCTTACGAAAAATGTTTTTAAAGCTTTTAACATAATGAAAGTCACACAACAAGAACACTATCAGATTAAAAATTAACATATTTCATTTCTAACATGAATATCACTTTTCTCTAAAATGCAACGTATATTAAACACAAATCTGTCAGCTATTAAAATTATAAAAATTGTAGAATACAGAACAAAAAAGCATAAAATTATAAAACTAAAAGTTAGACTATTTTATTTTAATCATAAGTGGTATGACTAAACATATGTTTATAGGTTAAATTATAAGAATACTACAAAGTATATAAAGACTAGCTCTGTGAGAAGAATGCCTTCATGGAGAATTTTCTAAGGGAAACTAACTCAGATTAACATCAAACACAAGAAAAACCTTAAAAACAAACCAGCCAGCTTTTTTACCTGAGACCCATAGACAATTACCACTATTCAGCAGTCTTAACCACTTGTGGGGCAAAATTTTAATTAAATTTGCTTGTCAGATAACCTCAAAGCTTGAACTCGTGTTTATTTAATTTTTTTATATGTTATATATCTATAACTCGTAACTATTGAATATCTAACTAACTAACATTTTGTTCCTCTAAATTTCCATCAGAATGGCTGGCACACGTTTGGCAGGATATCTGCCAAATTTTACAGTCCAGGAGAGCCAATTTTCGAGTTTGATAGGAAAACACAAAGTATCTAAAAATGATACTCAATAACCATTAAAATGAAGGTATAGTTGAAATCTGAAAAAACACTTTTCTATCTCAATACTATATGTTTTATCTTAAAGCAGCTAATATCTAATGAGACATTTCATTTTGATAAAATGTAATGAATGAAGCCTTCCAGTTGCATAATATATTATGCATGCCTAGTTTATAACAGTCTAAACTTATCTGGTAGTTTTACAAGTGATGTGTTTGGCATGTTTTATGTAAATTTATGCACATTCAGCAATTTGAAAAAAATTTCAAGTAAAAATTCACAAAATACGAGTATTTTCAACAATGTAGAAGAAACATAAACTTTAATTGGAAAGGAATGAAATTTTTTTCCTTATAATACTGTAATTTACTGCTTTTAATTTTTAAATTATTTAATTTCAAAATGTATATTTTTACAGTTTTATCCAAAGAGTGAAAGATACTTGCTGCAAATAGTAATTACCATCATAATATAACTCATCACAAAAAGTGTTATTAAAAAATAATATACAAATTTCTATAGGAAAAGAATTATCAAGTTACAGGAAATATGATATATGAACATTATAATACATAATAGCAGATAATAAAAATAGTATCAATTTACAACTCAAATGGAAATTAGTACTTATAAATAACATAAAAATTCCACACATGATGAAATAATGCAGTATGGGGAAATTTTAAATTATTTTCACTCTTGCAAGTTGAATAACAATCAAAGATTAACATATTTTTGTAGTTTAAGAGATTAATGTTTAGCATTTTTTGAAATAAAAAGTTTCACTATTTGAAAGCGCTAATATAAGTTTTATATTAAGTTTAATATTTCAAAACTATTAACTCCCACATACTTTTAACAATTTATTTCGCACAAATTATAATATAAAACATATAAAAAGCATGCTGCAATACTGAAGAGTGTCATAATTTCACTTCTTACCAATATATCTATCCACTTTTGAGATGCTTCTCCAAAATCCATTTGAAGATGTTGAATTCTGAACCTGCTAAAGATGTACTAGGAGGAGGCCTGCAACAAGCTCTCAATTTATGTTTATGTTATCGACCACAAATAAAAATTTAGAACCAACTATTAGGACCTGTATGACTAATATTAAACTGCTTTAAAATGTAGTAAAATACTCATTCTTATCTTAATTCTTTCAGATGAAAAAATTTTCAAAACATAATTGAAAATTTTTATTAATATAATTTTAACTAAAATATGTTTAAAAACAAATCTATATATTGCAGATGCTTAAGGAGAATACAAATAATGTTAGAAAAGTGACAATTAAATTTACAGCTATTTCTTTCTAAATTGACTAATTTTTACTCAAATGGCAAAAAAGAAGCCTTTTTTGTGACTATTATGAGCAACTGACTTTGAAAATAATAGTATCAGATTACAAAATGTTTTAAAACAAATGGCCCCACCAGCAGCCGAGCGATAAAGACGCTGAACACTGGTAGTTCGGGCCAAGGTTCGAATCCCGCAAATGGGCTGACTGCATGGGCGTTTTCATGGTTCTCCCCATGTGTAACATGTATACAAGCCTGTTTACCTTAGAAAGTCCTCCACAAAGGCATCCCTCCCTTTAGGCAGATAGCCCTCGTGTGCTTTGCCATAACTGAATAATCTCAATCCCGTTTTAAAACAAATATTTATTTATTTATTTATTTATTTATTTATTTGCCTACTAATAGTGAGGAAAAAAATTTAAATGTAACAAACAAAATGGCTTAAAACAAATACATTTTCTTGTCTACTAGTAGTGGAAAAACCCTAAAATGTAACAACCAATAAAAGACGAGAATCTGGCTATAAGGGAATAAGTCAGCTGCCTTAGAAGAGAGACCTTCAGAAAGTCACCTTTCCTAGGATAACCTGAAATCTGCTGTTGAAAATGCTTCTACAACACATTTTCATTACACGTGATGGAAGCCCCCAACCTGTTCACCTGCAAGAAATTTCACTCACTATAAATTCTCATCTTTTTGTGCTTTTATTTATGGGGACTATTAGACATTTTGAACAAGAAAATCAACTGTGCCTTGATGGATTCGAATCATGGATCTTCCAGTTGCTAGCTTCAACTGACTTTAACTGCTTGCAGATACATTAAATTTTTAATTAATATGAAAACAAGTAAAAAATGAGAAATTATTTTGAAGATCTCAGGAAAATGATTATCCAGAAATAAAAAATATAACCCTTCTACAGATGAACTCATGTTATTCGACAGATGATGAGATGAGAATTGATGTTCTCAAAGCACATTGACAGAAAATACAAAATATGAATCTCAAGTATTATTCTCATTCAAATATCCCACAAAATGTCACAACTGCACGGCTGTAAGGAAAATATTTCAAAAAACCCTGCCTTTCAGAACACTTTAGTTTTTTTTTTTTTTTTTTTTTTTTTTTTTTAATGATTTTATAGTATTAATATACAAATTATTTAATGCATAATTTATTTTACTGCCATTTAACTATTAAATGACAAATTTATATAGACTGGTAAAGTATAAATTACATCAACCTATAATTTTATAGTACTTTAAAATTGAGTTCTGTTTATCAATTGTCTTCATATCATAAATGATGAAGACTTATTAACTTTTAATTCTGTGCATTGTTCTTAAATCTGCTAAGAATTAAATTACAAAAGCAAAAAATAAATGTAATGCACACATTTTCATTTTTCAACAGTAAAATTTATTACATTTTCTAAATATGAAAGGATTTAAAAATTTAATCAATTAACTTTTATCATTTTAGAGGGCTAAATAAATAAGTTGGTTCTAAATTATAAACCTCTACAAGTGCCCATTACATAATAAATATATTTAATTTTGTATTAACTGCTTAAAACAAAGAAAAACATTTAATTTTGTATTAACTGCTTAAAACAAAGAAAAACATTTAATTTTTAATCCAAGGTGCTGAATATAATTTTTATATTATTATAAAAAAACAAAAGCAGACTCCTCTTCTCCCTTCCCCCAACTGATGTTTAATATGACACACTTCGAAATAATATTCGTTAACACGCAGAGAAAAAAAAAATCTCATACATCGCTAGGAATATATAAACTTGGGCAAGAACATGAAACAGTCCAAAAGTAAAATATACACTTATTTTTACAATGTTATTTTATATGTTGAGCACTTCGAGAGAGATGATATCAAATTAAAACATATATGTCCTTTTATATATAAATAAAATATCAAATTACATTGTGAGCAGTATTCAATCCAGATATTATACAATCATAGCAAAATATAACAGCATGTGTCACAGGCACACACAGGTTGCAACTTACTCAGAAAAATGAATAATTATAAGCTGCTGGACCAATAGGAATCGCTGCGTAACATGCAGTTATTTCACAATCATAAAGCTACACACAATTTAGATTTTGTTTTTACTGAAAAATTATGCAAATGTAAGACCTGTAAAGGCATCATCTTAAAGTACATGCATGACTACTACTTGGAATGCAACGTCTGACATTTCAAATGTGAATACAATTACACTGCTCTTTTTCAGAATATAATGGTACCCATCATATTATTCAGAGAATTCGTTCTTGAAATTTTATAAGCCTCGAAGTTGTCTTTTCTGTTGAACCATTTTCGACAAACTGTCACCAGACTGTTGATTCAGCACCAATAATGGGTAAGCGTGATGTCATAAACAAATATAAGATCTTTTCCATAAGTTTATGTACACTCAATTAATTCTTAATAAGCCAATTTAGCTTTGTAAAGATATACGTTAACAGCTGCTTATCTGTGTTTTTCCTCACATTTTGAAAAAAATCACTAAAATTTGAGTCCTTCCCCATACAAAGCAGAATACTGTAGATTCTCAAAGGTATGGAATCCTGGTATCAAGAGAAGTGTGTGTTTGTGGGCAAGATATGCAACTGTATTTGAAAGTGGACAAATAACAGTGATACAAAGGTAAAAAATTATGACAAATGATTTGAATTTTTTATATGATATATACATAACTTGCTGTTGATTACCTACCTAAATAAAGAGTGGTTTTTTTCATTCAAAGTTTGGTTGAAATATGTTTGGTAGAAGTTTGGCTGAAATATGTTTGGTAGAATTTTGGCAGAATATCGGCAAATTTTCATGGTCGGCAAGTACACCAGCTTTTATGTCTGAAACACACTTTTTTCCCTCCTTCAAAATCTTGCATAATTTATGCAGACTTAAGTAACAAAACAAGATGGCTGTTCATTTAATCTTAGTCTAGAATTCTTTTTTCATTCATTCAGCTTTTCTACACTGAATTGCATTTTTTATATGTTCAAGCTAGAATTTCCATATAAAAAGCAACTGCCGAGCTTTCTAGACAGTTCAGCTTTTACTATATGCGAGATGGTATATGAAAAAATTTCTAATTGTAAATTATTAGTTTATATATATGTATACACACACTATATGTATATATGACTGCAAACTGTTCTGCAGAAGAATCAATGATGGTTCTGAGTATTCAGCTGAATAGTCCTTAAAATTTGTCTCATTAATGCGAGTAGATGTAGAATTCAAGCCATGCAAAAAATATAATTTAATGTAGATATTCTGTGGTATTTCAGCAGAAAATTTATGGACTGTTATATTTTAGAAACAACAGACATTACAAAATGGTCATGAGTTGCAATAAAACTATAACAAAAATGGAAGAGTTACAATGACATATCTTTCTAACTGAATCCAAAAACAAACATTAACTCAAGATGACTGCTTAGAACAGATTTATAAGCTACTGTGTATCATTTAGTCTTTAAAATGAAGCAAGAAGTTACTACAAGCTCTTTAACATGACAAGCAGAAGACCATTTCGCATAATGGGTTTTGGGGAAAATGGTGTTAGCACCTACACATGACAATATTAAAAACTGGAGCCTGAAAAAGTATTTTTCCTTGTGGACTGGATAAGAGTGCACAATATTTGCATCAAACCAAAAACAGATACACAGATGTGAGATGCACACAAGCCTAGTGAAAGCCACTTTATGTATGGAACATATTTTAATAAAATTCACCAATTTACCAAAAAGTTTACATTTTAAATGCCACTAATGAAAATACCTGTTTCTGATAAGCCAGTTTGGGGAAGGAATAGTTATTTATCAGCACATCAATATGTCATGTCATAATGCCAAAATTATCTTCATAGATAATGGTTCAAGGAACTGAAAACTATAAGTTACTCCCTTGGCTTAACCTTGAACGTAACCCAAATCAATGCCTGTTTAACAACCTTAACTGGTAATCTAGATTCTCCAGAAAAGAATATACACTGGTGAAATAAATTAAGAAAATTTGCATATTTTATCAAATTGCACAAAAAGAACTGAACTGAAGTAAACCACTGCTTCTAGATAAAAATGCAAATCTTGCACGGCAAACATGTAAGCGTACACATGTGTGTAGGCGAAGCAAGCAGAAAAACAGGCTTTATAAGTGCATGGAGGTTAAGACAAATTGCATTCACTAGCACACATTGGTGAATTTCTTGGTGTAATCTTGCAGCAATCGGTTAAATTCACATCAAAACAGTAAAAATGAGTAACCACCAACGTTTAGATGTTGGAATGAGGTGACGAATTGTGGGGAGGCTAGAGGCAGGCCAATCCCAAGTCAAGGTACGCAAAGAGTTTAATTTAACACCCAGCATTGTCTGTAACCTATGGAAATAGTTCCAGGATACTGGATCCATCCAGAGAAAGCCTGGGCAAGGTCGTCCAAGAGTCACGAAGGCCATAAAAGATCGCTATTTGTCCATTTTAGAGAGGCGTAAGAGGAGCTACAGCTTCTCAGCTCTCTCGGGACCTATATGCACCCACAGGAACCCGTATAACAAGGCTGACTGTTTCCAAAAGACTAATTGAGAGAGGGTTGTTTGCCAGAAGACCGGTTGTTTACATTCTGCTCACGTCTACAAACAAGAGAGTTCGATTAGCATGGTGCAGGCAGCATAATGATTGGAGTACGGAGCAATGGGCGACCGTTCCGTTCCCATTTTACCCTAAACCCGATTCTTGTCGTACTTTCATAAGGAGAGAGAGCCAGGGACCCGCTTTCTAACCTCCAATGTCAGTGAAATCAACAATTAGCCGGTGGCCGTATAATGGTCTGGGCAGGCATCATGTTGGATGGCCGCACATCTCTCCACGTCTTTGTTAGAGACTCTGTGACATCTGAGGTCATAATAGTCATAATACAGGAAAGACCCAATCCTCCTAGTCCCACTGGACCATATGATTATAAAGGGTCGACCCCCTCAAATGACATCTGAGGTATAGGGATGAGGCCTTTGATCCTTATGTTCACCTTTTCCGGGGTGAAGTGGGCCCCGAGTTCATCTTACATAATGATAACACGAGGCCACATAGAGCTCTTCTGTTTGACGAATTTCTTGAGAGTGAGGATATTCGCTGGATGGATTGGTCTTCCAGCTCTCCAGACCTCAATGCTATAGAGTATGTTTGGGATGCTCTGAGGAGGGCAATTGCAACTAGCAACACCCCTCCGAGAACCATCCAGGAACTGAAAACAGTATTGCTGAATGAGTGAAACCAATTGCCACAGGCACTGTTAAACTGCCTTATTTCCAGTATGACATCACGCTGCGAGCCCTGTACAGCTGTAAGAGGGGATCATACCCCCTATTAATCCATTTCTTTTGTGTCTTCTGCAACTGCTGTTTCAGACTTTCAGACTCTTTCATGTGTGTTACACATCAACATGTGTGTCTGTTATAAACTGTTGAAATGTTTTATTTTGTTTGTATTATATCAACCTATGTTCACACCAAATTTTATTAAAATCTGTCCAGTAGTTCTGGAAATCATAAATCAAATATGAAAATTCTCTTAATTTCTTTCACCAGTGTATATGATGCATGGTTCACTGCAATCTGCACAGTTACAACACCCATTGCAAACTTTTGATAACTCATATGCTTCTATACAAGTTTATAGTAAAGGTTGCTATGACAGGCATATATACTGGCTACCAGACATGGAGTCATAACAATGCAATAATTATTTTGTTATTATATTGAAAATTAATCAAAAGAAAATACAAATATGAATGCAAGTATTCAGCAAAAAGTATCTCAATTTTATCAGTAATAATATATGTACTATATTTGTTATTATTAGGCACTGCAGAGGTAATTATTTGTGGCAGATAACAAATAATTTAGACTTACCATTGCAGATACTGTACAATTGTAAATTCTGCTACTCAATTAGAGATGAATCATTTCCAGTACAAATTGAGGGCTTGGTGCAGAAAAACGAAAAGCATCCTAAATAAGACAACTACCAAATTTTACAAAACCAACATATGATGAAAAAAATCTAACCTCTGGAAGAAAATAAATAGAAGAAAACAACAGTTGTAAAAAAATGTCTTTTTGCAAACGCACTGTTAAGAAGCATTTGAAATTTTGTTTTACTTTCCAATTACATAATGTATGGCTTTTAGCTTGTTTAAAAATAGATAAGTTTAGTATCACATCACTTACACATACACTAATTATATTTAAAATAACATTTTCATTTTGTATGAAATAATTTTTTACAATATAAAAATTCTATTAAATAATATTTTAAAAATTACATAGTGATCTATTTAGAACCAATGCACGTTAGCTCCTTACAACATACAAAATTCCTTGGAGGTCCAGAATAATTGGGGAGGGGAATTCCATATATTTATTACACAAAGCAGTTTTACATTATATCAATTATTTTTTTCAAACTGACTTCGAGCAATTTTCGAAAAGAATCAAGTATCACACACTATCAAAACAGCACATTCATTATAATAATAGTTGAAAATATTCAATGCAGAAAAATGTATATAGTAGAACTATTTTACATTTTTCATACATCTATATAAATAATAATTAATTAATATAAAACTGCTCAAATTATTCAGTCATATGAAATTAATTTCAATTCTCCAATCTTGTAAAAGTAATAGGGAAAAAAAAAAAAAAAAAAAAAAACAGCAATGTTATAAAGAAGAATCTCTACACTGTAAGCATCGTTCTTAAAATACTCTTCCTGCTACAGTGTTACTTTAATACAAGGCATCTTAAAGCCATTTTCTTCTCTTCTAATTTTCTTTGTAACCATGGTAATGACAGCAGCAAGAGATGATTCAAATCCTCTAATTTGCTAAAATCAACAATCCTCTATACAGCAATGACAACATATTACAATTGTAAATGAGGGGAGGATGATTGCTTGAAATGCCTATTTTAAAGTACCAGACTACAATACTGTTAATTATAATGAATCATTATAATCACTAAAATTAACTCTTACTCTTAGATTATAAGAGTTCATTCAAAGAATGAATTATTTTATATAAAGAATGAATATTATTTTAATAAATTGTATGCAACATTAGAAATAAGACTGATGAACCAATCGAGATTAGTAACTAAACCCTTGATTGAATCTTGCTGATGTATTTAAATTTCTACTTGTGTTATCACTAAGTAAAGGTTGTAAAAGTGAATATGGCATTAGAAAGTTTTTACATTAAAAAGAGTTAAAGATGGTACGACTAAAACAAAAGTTAAGAAATTAATTTTAAATGGCATAAATGTAACTTTTTCTTTACAAATTGTTCTGAATTTTTGTAAAATCTCTCACATAATTACTTTTGATTAATGCTCTATACATCATGTCTATAAAACTCCTTACCTGGCCTTTATTTTATACACTGCTGTCAAAGACTTATATTTCCAGTTACAAAAATGTTACAAATGATGCAAATATTAATGTTTTGGCACTTTTAAATTTAAACTCCCCCCCCCCCCAAAAATTGTAAAAATTATGAAATTTAACTTTTTATACATTCTTATGATCCCTATATTCATACTTTGAAAAATGTTAACTGATAATAAAAAGCATAGAATAAAAACTGTAACTCTCATACAGACTGAGATATGCAGTTTTAAAGCTGAACATCATATTCAAAAACCATACCCAAGTCAAACAGTAGCAAAGTGTTTGCATTTGTACTTAACTAAAAATAAAATATCAGTTTGGTACAAGATTTCTGACATTAAACATTACATTTTTATAAGTGACGAACATTTCTATGAAAATTATTGTAAAACGCATTGACCGAGTAATTTTTTTCAGACAAATTCTATTATTCACAGAATCTTACATAATCCTTGTTCTACAAACACTTGTTTATATAAAATGCCATGCTGCTAACTCATAATTTTGTTTATATAAAATGAAAAATATTTCAAGATTAATTAATCTTTTTGCTCATTTTTAGATTAGGATTCTGTAAAAAGTAAATTTTGTAAGTAATAAAACTGCATGAAAAAAATGTATTTCTATTGGTTCAAAATTTATAAATTCTTTCAGAATAACTGCAAGAAAATTATACATTACAGAGCATTTACACATGCGGATATGATGTATTATCATAAAACAGAACTCACACCCACTGGTTCCAAGTATTACGTTTTATTTCATTCAGATCTATATCTGCCCACATCTGTCTACGTGCGATCAGTAAACACCTTATTTTTTAAAAAAATACCGTTAGCTGCTTTCAGAAACGTCAACTCATAGACGATAAACTCAAAAACTGTTTCATCTTTAGAATTCCCTCATGCAATTTAATCTTTTGTAGTATTAACAAGAAATTAAGGATGAGTATAAATGAACAGCTGCTTTTTAATTCTTTTGCAGCTCAATTCCCACAGCACACAGCTATCGACATGTGAGGACTTCTAAACACTGAAACATATCAAATAAAGAAGAAAAATAACATATGTGAAAAGAAATGATAGCTTAAAAAAAAGAGAGAGAGAGGTGTGGAAAAAAAAAAACAGTCTGCAATAGAATGATTTCAGGTTGCAATTCCAATAGATCAGGGCTTCATGTGGTCAGCCGAAGTGGAAGTTACTTCAGATCCTTCATGAGATCGCTACTTTTGCTACATCGTAGCAGTCATGGCTTAATCTTAATTGAATCAAATATGGAGAAGACATAACTAAATCATAAAATAATGTCACTGAATAACATTTAAGAGAACTAAACATAAACCTCTAATTACTCTAATTCATTTATCGGGTTTTAACGAAAGTTTCCTGCCACCGCAAATACTGTCTGCACAAAGAGTTCACATTAGCATGTTAAATCATATTTTGCCAAAAGATTTTAAGAAAATTGCTTTAGAACACTTTATTGTGAAATTTGTAAAAAAAAAAAAAAAAAAAAAAAAAAAAGTATCTTTATCATTAAGTACAAAGTGTCTGAAAAGAAACTATCATGCTACCAGATTAGAACCATCATTTACATCCTGTTCTGTTGTAAAAAGTTAGCTACAGAATGTCACCAAATCATATGTACAGCTTTAGATATTAACCTCATATCATACAACAATGTGAAGGTTTGGTACTGAAAGTTCAAAAACAAGGACAAGTTAACATTCAAGAAGCAGAGCACTTCTGGCTGGCCAACTGATGTTAATGAGGCGAGTCAAAGTTTCAGCTCGAAGTTTCAGCTTTGAAGAGTCAAAGTTTCAGCTTTGAGAAGAGTCAAAGTTTCAACTTTGAGAAGAGTCAAAGTTTCAGCTTTGAGAAGAGCCAAAGTTTCAGCTTTGAGAAGAGCCAAAGTTTCAACTTAAAGTTCAACAAAGCTGAAACTTTGACTCTTCTCAAAGTTTCAACTTTGAGAAGAGTCAAAGTTGCAAAATGAGAATACCATAAAGCAGAGGTTATCAAAATTTTGACTAACGCGTACCATTTAAACAAAAATTGAAATCCTTTAATACCACCACTACAAAGTACTATTACCACCACCAATCTTGAGCAAAGCTCAGATCGCATAAATTTACGAGTGTTAGAGAAAACACTCAATCAGGATGTTTGGAGTTTTAATTTTTGAATTTAATAGCTAAAAATATCTTGCTCCTTTGCGTACCACCTATTTTTCTCTTGCGTACCACCGGTTGAGAACCCATGCCATAAAGCATCTTCGAACAGAACAGGGAAGCGCACGAAGATTCCTACGCATAAATACATACTGTAATTACAGCAATACAGTAGATTTGACTCGTTCCCCCGACTCATCCCTGGTAACAAGCTGATTGTCCTGGAAGATCCCTTGCTATGGATTGGGAAAGATGTGTTCAGACAACACTTTCCCGATTCTTCAGTGGACACTTGAGGGGACTTACTTTTGAGAGGGGTGTCAAGATGCACCCAATTTGTTCTAAGTGTCACCGGCACATATCCTTGAGTGCCTGGAGTTGTCTGTTGTGGACCTTTACGGGTCTCCTAAGCTTGTTTTTGATTTTCTAATGGTAAATGGACTCGTGGACCTCGTCTAGTATATTCTTAGGCATGGAGATTAGTAACAGCAACAACAACAGCAATACAGTAGTTAAAATATACAGTTTGCATTACATAGGCGACGTTAGAAATTATCGCAGTGTAGCTATTGATAAACTACCACATTCGTGGTGTCTTCGTGATGTAACGGGTAGCACACTGGACGCGTATTCGAGAGGTCCAGGTTCGAGTCCAAGAGAAGGCATTGCTCATTTTTATGTCTTCCCCCCCCAAAAAAAAACCTAATGGCTCTAAAGTGGCGGCCGAACTAAAAGGTGGTGGATGATGATTCTTCACCACCAGGATTTGGCGATTGGGTACCCTAATGCCCAGTAGCCCTTTAAAGGAGGGTGTATAGATTTTTTCTCTCTTTTCGGCATGCCTTCGTGGTATGGTAGCAAACCGCGCTATCGAGAGGTCCGGTTCGATCCGGGAGGGCATGCCATTTTCATGTCTCTGCTCAAAATTATCAGGTTCAGTGTTCCGCCTTACTTGCTTTGGGAACATTCAAGAACCTGACTCGGAACAGGGAGCTTACTAAAGCTATGTTCAATAAATGTGGGAAGTAGACAAGATACACAGGAAGGGTATACGAAACCCTTTATTTTTCACTCTTTACAATAATTTCCGTACTTCGGAATACAGAGACCAACCACTTGTGGTCTGAACGTAAGAATATAAAAATATTAACTAAACTCTAACTTAACTTTGGAATAATAAACAAGGGCCTACGTGGAAGATTGGCCGTATATTAACAGGAAGCCGTATGTAGTACAGAGAACTGTTAACACTACAATACGTTTAAAATTATCAAGAGGATTAAACCTCTGGCCTGGAAGGCAACCAGCAACCGAGTAAAACTGCTAAGGCAAGCGGCCTGCTTCTCGACTAACTCCTTCCTCTCTCTCGCTTGGCAAAAAGCCACAACTTAAGTACTTGGCGTTCGCCAGACAAATTTGCATAAATAAGTTAAAGCTTT